GGGAGTTAAGTGCATGCATTTTCAAGAAACTAAACTCCCCTCATATATAATTTAACCTAGAAAAGAAAGCAAAATTGAGAGAGTAGTATGATTACATTGTTTGAGAACTGGTGACTTTATCTCCCCTAGTCTTATGGAAGTCAGGCACACTTTCACTGTTTGGCATATCTTTAGGGCTGTGGGGTGTGGGCTAAGTGTGATGTTGTAATAACAGGGACAGTTTCTCTAACTATAGCCATGGACTGTGGATTGAAATAGTAAATTATTCCTAGCAGACCGAATGGGCAATAAGACCGCCATCCAGTTCTCCTCATAAAATAAAGCAATAGATAAATAAAGGAGAACCAGCTCACTTAACCCGTGTGGCTCGGTGCACTGCTAATTATTAACCCAGGCACAAGAGAAGGGTTCACCCAGAGTGTAGTTAAATCATTTTTAATAGAGGTAAACACTAGCCATGTGGATGAGTAGCACTCAAGAAAGTTTTTAATCAGCAACGTTTAAGAATCACCCAGCCTAATTGCCATAACTTATTAATAACAATAAGTAATCTAGTCTTTTTATGGCCCCTGTCTCTGGAGGACTCAGTGCATTAAAGATCTCTGGGGTGTGAATCTCTCAGTAGCTGTCGGGCGGGGGGAAGGCAAGTACCCTTGATGCTCATTCCTAACGGGAGAAACTGGACATCGAAGCTAAGAAAGACAAATATGAGTTCCTTTTTATTTTCTTCTTCCCACATCTGAGTCACCAACTTCTACACGGCCTTTCATCTATCTATAGGACCAGAATGGCTCCAGGGGGTGGGGGGAGGGCTGGAGAACAGGCTTTCTTTGTTCACGTGAATGATTGGGGTTGAGGGAAGTGAGTGTGAGCAGAGCTTTGTCTGAAGGAGTTTGTTTCCTCTGCCCAAGTGTCCCTGGTGTCCCTTGGCCTCAACCTGACTGTGGCTGGGTGGGTGCTAGCAACTTCCAGCTCTGTGCTTATGTGATTTCCCACTTCTGGGAGAGCAGGAGAGATGGCGCTGAGTCTTACTCTCAGAGTGAGTCTTCACAGCAGCTGATGGGAGGATGTTTGTGTAAATTATCTAACTTAACCTGCCCAACACCAAGGTGTGGGCATTGAAATATCCCCAGGTCATCAACAAGGAACTTCAAGTTCAGAGGGTGTAAGTGATCGACTACCACAAGATTCCTGGTGATTGGTTAGACTGAAAGGTGAATATCACACTCAAATTTGAGGCCCTTTGGATTTTATGAGTGACGAGTCCCTGTGGTTTGGGATGATGGGCACAAACACCAGAGTACATGATGGTAAGAGTATTTCTGTGGCTAGTATCTTCTGAGGTCCAGAATTTTGGGGGAGGTAAAATGTAGCCAAACAGCACAGGATTTACCTTATTCTCACTTATATTTTGTTCTTCTGTCCATGGGTCATTTGAGCCTGAACCTGCATGGCTGTTTCAGTCTAGAAAAGTGAAATTTTGAAGAAGGTACCCAAGCCATTATTGTACACAGCAAAGAGCTAACTAATGCCAAGAATGGAATGATTTATGCCATAGACTACAAAGACATAAATTTAGAGTGTAAATTGCAAGATAACTCATGTGCAAATTGTTGCAATATTTATACTAGTGTTTATTAAAATTTACATTTGAATAAAAAGGTGCAAAATGTAAATGAAGCTGAAAAACATTTCTTTTTTTCTTAAATCTAAAATAGCTTATACGAAAATCAAGAGAGTTTTTTGGAATAGAAGATATGAATAGTACTCTATGCAGATTTGTCTGCTAAAGCATGAAATATACAGTGAAATTGGAAGGAATAAGGTCACTAAATCCCTGCCTGAAGTTCTTCCCACCCTGCCCACTGATACTTACCAGTGATTCAAATCAGTACTGAATTTCTAAGGAAGCGCTCCCTGTCAAAAGCCACAGAAAGGAGGGTGGAGGATCCAGGATGGATGTCGAGACTGGATCCGTATTTGAGAGACTAATCTTATTTCACTGATGTTTTCAAGGTTGGAAATTTTTGTCTGTACTCATTAGAGGAGAATGATAAATCTCTAATTTGTACTTTGCTAATAATAGGGATGAGCTTGTGTGCTTCATTAAGGTTAAATGAATCTCATGTAGTCCTAACTGAGTCTTTCGTGCCATGTGTAACCTTGGGAAAAGTCTTCTACTTCTGTGGGACTCAGTGTCCTCATCTGTAAAGTGAGGGGGTTGGAGCAGATGAGTACGAAGACCCACCAGCTCCTTTTCCTTGCCTCCCGTGTGGGAGCACACCAGGCAGTGAGGACCCGCAAAGATGATTAAAACACACAACTCTTGCCCTCGGGAGCTCATGGTCTACGTAACTAACTACAGTATGAGCTGTAATTGCAACGTGCACAAGTTACTCTAGGGGCACGGGTGGAAACAGTGACCTCCCTCTGTGGGGATAGGCTCTGAGAAACTTTGCAGCCGCTGTGACATTTGAAGGCTGAGGAGGAGGGCTCACTCAGGTGCGCAGGCTGGTCAGAGGGTGGGTGGTTCCGACGGCACGTTCCAGGCAGCAAATTCGTGTGGCAGGTGTATTTAGAAAGCTGCACATGGTCCTTCTCACAGTCTTCAGAGAGTATGGAGGCATGGGGGGAGAGTGCCATCCACACGCTGCTGGGTCAAAACCTGTACCAATAATGAGTGACTGAGGTTAGGAAGTAATACATCGAGTGTATATACATATACACACACACACACACATTAGGGCAGAGTTGAAGTTGTCCTGTAATGGCATCATCCCAGTTAGCTTTCGTGAATGTGAGGGAGAGGGTGGTGTTTTAGCCAGCTCCCTGGGCATCGTGAGCCTGCCGCCTGTCATACCCGAGCCACGGCCTGGGGTGCCCTTGGGAGCATATGTATGGCATATGAATGACACCCCTCACGAGGGTCACGTCTGCGCCACCGGAATGAAAACTGTTCCCACAGGGATTCTGTCCTTGCAGGTTGTTTAATCCACCAGGTGCGTATTTCATCTTTGAAAGGTGCGTGTGCGCCTTTCCTGGGCTCTCCACTCTCTTTGACCTTGTAGGAGCTGATGTTGTAGCTGACGACTGGCAGCAAATTGGATGTCGACGATACAGTTCTTATTTAGTTTTTAATATGAAAATAAAGTTTTAAAATTCAGATCATAGATGAAAAGCATGGCCTTTGTTAAAAAATTAAAGTAATACAGAAAGGCCTATCTAAGATTTGAAGAAGTGACCCCACATTCCATCACTGAAGGCAAACTGTGGTTTAGGTCTTTCTTCGTGGAGATATAGGCATGGGTACGTGCACATAGTGGGCGTACATAGGATACATGTTTCATGTTGCTGTCTGATTTTTTTCATTCAGAAGTAATCAAAGTCTTCATTTGAAACGGGGGCACCATAACCCATTGTGTGGGGTACATTATTTGTGGTTTGATTCCCTATAGACAAACAAGCAATATCCATTGTTTCGCCATTATACACAATGCTGCGATGAACATCCTTGTTAGAATTATTTGGCGCCTTTAGTTATTTCTGTAGATTAAATTCCTGGAAGTGGTACTGTTAGGTCAAGGACTGTATGTTTAACATTTCCTTACATCTTGTCAAGCTGTCTTTCAGAAGTTTCGTACCTATGTACAGCCCCATTAACAGGGCGGGAGCTGGTTCATGTCTCAGAGGGGCTGTCTGTGTTCCTACCAGCACTATCTTCTATCTTCAAGTTCCTGAGTGAGAAATAGGAGCAGCCAAGAGTACTTTTGGGGTGACTGGGAGGCAGTAGAAGCAGGATGAGCCTGAATGCACAGGAGAGATGTCAGAAAGGACCTGGTGTATGCACACGAACATACTCATCGCAATTCCTAATTGTCAAACACTGAAAACACTCCAAATGTCCATCAGGATTACAAGGGGAAAATAAATTACAGTATAATCACACAGTGGAATACTATATGGGAAAGAGAATGAATGACCTGCTAGTACATGCTACATGGGCATGGATGACTCCCACAATCACTGTGCAGCAGCAAAAAAAAAGGCAGACAGAAAGAATACATACTGTATGAGTCCATTTACATTAAGTTTAAAAGCAGGAAAAAGTGAATGTAGGGTGTTAGAAGTCATGCTGGTGGTTACCCTTAGAGGGATATTAGTAACTGCTTGTTCATTTATGTCTTTTGCTAGATGTATATTTCCTAGTGCTGGACAGAGTGCTTGGCATATGGCCTCCCCAGTATTTGTTGAAAAAAATTAATTTTTTCCCCTTTTAACAGGCTTTGACCTAGGATTAATATGAAGACATGGTGTTAATTAGTTGTGAGTTATGATGTGGAAAATTCATATAAATTTTTTTTTTGGGTGATTTAAATATGGAAGGAATCTTAGTATATTTGTAGACCCTTCCTCCGTTTATTCTCCTGTGTGATGTTATTTATAAACCAGTCAGACACTTAGTGGTGGGTGAGGAGACGGGTTTTGGAATCAGACATTCGGGTTCAATGCCGAGCCCATTGCTTACTCCTCTGTGGCCTTGGATGAGTGACCTAATCTTCTCCAATATCACTTTCCTTAGTCTGTTTAGTAAGGATGAGAATATAACCTACTCTCTAGGGTCATTGTGAAAAATAATATTAATATTAATAATAACCACCAAATTATGTTTGCTACATGCCGGACACTGACCTAAGCTCTTAAAACATAGGACATAATTTGTTTGATCTTTCCAGTACTTCTATCTATTTGTGGTTTAGGAAATGTAAGCCACAGCATTAGTAAGTGTTGAGCCAGGATTTAAATCCAGGAATTCCATTCCAGAGCCCGAGCTCTTAACCACTACCTCTGAGTTAAAGGAAATATTGCACCAAGAGTGCTCAGCAAAGTCAGCATCTGTTAGCTGTGAAGATCATCATTGTCATTCTCAGCATCATTAATATTTTTTTTCTCCTCTCTCTCTCTCCCCGCTCTCCTCCCTTGTTTCTCCGCCCTCCTGGCAGATATGTTCCAGCAAGGTAAGTTTGCTGTCTCCGGCCTGCTTCTGCACTGACTGTGCTTTTTTGGGAACAAGGGTATTGTCTGTGTGCAGAGGGTTATGGAGCTTTGCATTCTCTGTGGACTCACACTGGGGCTTTAGGAGACACCATGGGGACAATAGCCTGAGGTGGCCAAAAGTGCCATTGGCCTCTCTGGGCCTGCACCATCCAGCCTCTGCCTCTGGACCATGCTTGGAGGTAGGGTGGCGACTGGACGGTTTGGGCAGGTACACTGGAGAGAGTCATGGCTAGGTCCCCATCAGGGCATAGGCATGCTTGGGACTCGTGGGATGGGTGAGGAGCAGGTGTTTCTGGGGTGGGGGTTCAGCTGGAAGACCCCTGTCCCTCGGGGCTCCTGTATCAGGGCCAGCTGCTGCTGGGGCAGGGCTCCGTATGCCGGCTCCATGTGGGGGTTTCTTTGCTCTGCCAAACATGTCGCTGTCCTGAGAAGAGGTATAGACAAGACCATGGCATGATACCTCCAACCCAGGTGTCCCTGGCAACCCCTCCAGCTGGGCCTGGGACAGAGATGGAGCCCGGAGAGGGCATGCAGTGTCTAACCTATTTTGCCAACCAAGGTCATGCATTCTGGGGAGCTGGAGATGGAAAGTTGAACTGCGTCTTCCCGTGTGCGTTTCCGTCCTGACCAAGGATGCACAGCTGGCGCCTGTGCTCTGTGCAGAGGGAGACTCGTGTGCATGGCCTTGTTCAACCTGCCAGGCACACGTGAACGGGGTGCCACCTCTTCACCCCCCCTTTTTTTTTTTTTTTATAAAATCACAGTCTGCAACCACCGGGTAGCATCAGCAGGGCGTATCTATATTCAAGCCAGGAAATACGTTCGTGGCACAGGTTTGCTATGTCTCTCTTGAATCCAAGGCTGGCTTAGAAGAAAAGACACTGGTTTAAAAATACATCTAGGCAGCCCATAAATAGCCACCGAGAGATAATCTCGCAAGCTTGATATTTTCACGATTATTTCAGCTCAAACCTGCAGCGTGTGTTGTGGAGAATGTCTGTTTGCTCTCTGATAGAAGCGCAGTTGTCGATAACAATGAGGGGACTGTTGTGTTTGTCTTTGAAGAGTCTGGAGTCATAGACCTACTTTTATAAATAATTCATAAATTCCAACAAGCTATAAGTAATAAGTTCCATTTGGCTAGAGACGCAGAGATGAGCAAAATTGAAAAGGTGCCGTGACTGTTGATGTAGTGAAAGCCTTGCTGTTAGGGCCCCTTTGCTCCATGTGTTTTCTTCCTTGACAAACTGGGGGTTCATGGCAACACTCTGGGAGGAGAAGAGGTTTTTTTTGTTTGTTTGTTTGTTTTTTTTGCGTGAACTAGAATACAAGCACCACCAACGCTGCATTGCATTCCTCGTTTTGAGACACAAAACGCTTGAATTTGGGAAGTCTTTCTGGAGCACGAGTGCCACAGCCCCGGGAGAACGGGGAGAGAAAAGGCTTCTAACGGATCTGGTTTTTCTTCGAACGATCGCGAGCGTTCACGACTGTCATGATTGGTATAAAAAATGGCTTATTAGGCTCCCTATGTCAAGTTTGCCTCCTTTTGTTATCCGTCATGCCACTTGATTGATGAGATTCGCCTGTCAGTAGCAATGATATGCAGAGCAAAAGTTATAATCATCTGCAAATCACCGGCTATCGGGACTTGAGAGCATCTTCCAGAGACAGAAGCTGCTAGCTGCCCATCGCCCCACGTGATGGTGGGCCACAGCTCCCGTGTACCATATTACTAGGATTTCAAACGAAGAGAGCTGAACTGGCTTTTGGGAATTATTTACATGGTGCTGGCCTTCTAGGGCCATTTCATAAGGAGGCACATTCTCTGAGATGGGAGCCAAGAACCCGCCAGGTGGTGCCCCATCCTTACCTTTGCTTGCGGCCATTCTGCCAAAGAAATGAATGCCCAGTAAAATGAGACAGTTCAGATGTGTTGGTGATGGTGCTGGTCACATCAGACCAAGGCAAAAGGTTCTGTGTCTTACAGATAGTCCAAAACGTGACTCCACTGTGTCTTCTGTGGTCGAAACTCTGTTCCAGAATTGTGTCATTACTTTGAAACACGGGGGGCCACGGATGGTGCTAGAAATAAGCAGCCAGAAAACTCTGTGGTTTCAGATGAACAGAAGCCACTGGGTGGAAACTGAGGTCCATTCATCCCCACACATATTGTGGGAACTCTGCGGCTGGGGCTGCCCGACCCCACCGTGGGCCTGCTTTGGCTTTGCCCGGGGTGGCCAGGGGCACTTGCGGGAGATGCTGCTTTCTCGGTGCATGCTTCTGGCGGTGAGTGAGCGAGGCCCGCCTGCCCAGAGGAGTGCCTGCCTGCGTGTTTGGGCCGCTGGGCACCACGGCAGGCAGAAGAGGGAGGTAGCCTCGAAAGCTGACAACATCAGACATTCTCAGAGGAAACCGCAGTTATTTCCCCTGGATTGCATTATCTTTTATTTCACTACAGATCAATCTTGTTGGAGGAGGTGAGAGTGCAGCAGCTACTGCTGGGCCTTTCTTGGCTGTGTCTGTGGCGTGTGCACATGGCAACGTGTTTCTGCCCTGCGCCTGTGCCATTTTAGAGCTTGCTTCCTTTCTTTCATCTGCAACGGCCGCTTGCTGGGGCGGTTAGACCACAGGGCGTGAGGGCCATCGAGGACCAGTGGGCCTGCAGCTGGGCCTTCTGTGTATCCGAGTTCCAGGGCCGTGGGGCCACCTTTTCAAGGAGCCTTATTGACCCACGTTCTCTGTTGTCCACAGAGCTCATGCGCCACTGGATGGCTCTCAGCAAGGCCGAAGTGCCATAGAGCTGCTCTTCACAACATCAGATGCAGTTGAAAATGCTGTATGTGCACACGTGTCTGGAATCTCGAGTTTTAGAGCACTTTTATAGCCATCGTTTAATCATGAAGTCAGGACCACACACACACATACACACACATGCCTCATTTGAAGTTACTGAAGCACCTTTTGAATACTCATCCATAGGCTCCACCTTGATTCTGAAATCGAACAGAACCCGAGCGAGTGGCTTGGAAATCAGAGTGCTGCCACTCAGCAGGGTGTTTGAAGCCGTAAGTGGGCACAGTATAAAGACTTTACCATTGAGTTAATTCTGTGCTCTGTGCTGTCCCTGATAGACTCGGAGCCCGAGGAGGCGTAGCCTTTCCTCCCACTCCGTTCTCGCCTGGAGCTGGGGTCCCGCTACTAAAGAGATTTTTCTTTTGGCTCAAGTAATTGTTGATAGCTCTCAAACATAGGGCAGTTGTTTATTTTGCAGCCGGCAAATATGTGCCAGGCACTTTCTAGGCCTTGAGGAAACGGGGACGGGCGAGACAGCAAGGGCTCAGTGCTCATGGAACTTACAGTCTAGCTTGGCAGAACGCTGGTGCCAAGCATGCCAGTAAATAGTCACGGCAAATTCCAAGGGACGCATGCAGTGAAGAAAAGGTCACAGGATGGTGTGCCGGTGGCTAGGAGGGCCTTTTTAGATGGGATGGAGCGAGGATGCCAAGATGGACCAGCTATTGGGGGATGTGGAGGAACCCCAACAGGCGTGAACACCCCAATGTTGCAGGATCAGAAGGGAGCTGGTGGAGCGGGAGCTCGCAAGAGAGGGAGAGCATTGTGTGAAATGAAGTAATGAGAAGAGGCTAGGAGTGTCGTCTGGAGATCGGAGGAAGGAAGTCAGCAGTGCGTTTTAACCCAAAGAGTGGCGTGGTCTGTTTACATGAAGAATTGCCACGTTGGCTGCTGTGAAAATGCGAAAGAACAATGTGTGAGAAGTTAAAACCAGGACCCGGGCTGAGTGCTGTGCGGGCTCAGGCTGGGCTGAGATGGGGACCTGCCTCAGGCCCTAAGCATTCCCCTTAGTGGGTCTCTGCAGCCCCATTTCTGGCCAGCTTGGCTCCACTGAGTGTCCCACTTTCTGCTCGCTTTACCCGTGGGGAGTATTGTGCCCGTAACTTACACCTCCTCTCCTTAAGCCTGGCAAATTGTGCTCATCAAGGGCATCATTAAAATACTCCTATACTTATCTTTAGATTTTAAAGAGCCACTTCTTTCCAATATACATATATATGTATTTCATATGTATTACATATTAATATATACATTAAATGCTCAAGAGACCTCAGTTTGGCTCCCAGCAGGGTAGGCCAGTTGCTTTGTCCTATAGCCTCAGTTTTCCCATCTGTAAAATGAGAGAGTTGGGAAGATTCCTGACCCAACTTGGCTTCCTGCTGATGCTCTATCTTGATGAGTTTTAATTGGATTTGTGTTAATAGGGTCCAGAAATAGCCCATACTATAGGTTATGACCATTGTCTAAAGAACTTGGGTGAAAGCAGAACCTTCCCTAGTGGCTGGGAATTAAGGTTAAAAGAATTGTGGTTTCAGAAGTGTAACCTACTCACAAGCCCATTTTGAAGCATCAGCTCCGGAATTCACAATGGATGGCATTGCTTTTACTAATTTGAAGAGAACAATAAATCATAGTTTGGTTTCTGGCAGCCCAGCCAAGCCTGGTAATGGTTGGGGTGGGCTTGTGGTGACAGGGACCACTGCCATTTATAATGTGTTTGACTTGAGCTCTTTTGCATATTTCAAACCGTTGGTCGAACTGCTGAGGCTGGATCTTAGGTTTTGCCAACCACTTCAGAAAAATCTTATCTGTTATAAAGCTCTGACCCTTTAGCCATGAATTATGGTTCCCTTGGTGATGTTATACATCATGAAATACTGTTTTCTTTATGAGTGTGGGATTTTGGCGAATAAATTAAATCTATTGTTACCATTTCCAGTTAAAAATTCCAAGTTGTCATATGATGTTAACGAGTGAATGAGAAAAATACATTAACATTTTTATGGTGGAAAGTGGTTGGTTCCCTGGTCACACTTCCCATATGCTAATATTTACTATGTATGTATATTATTCTCCATTCTGTCCAGGATTGGTAGAATATTCT